TAAACGTAGTCTTATCAATTCAAAACCATACATTAAGTTGACTTGGTTGTGTGAAAGAAGTCTTTACTGACGAACAAGGCAGCTGCAGGTTTTAAACTTTTTAGGAACATGCTTACCGTCTCCAGGAAATCCACTGCCTTCTCCCGAGGACTCTGCTTCAGTGACTGGCTTATCGAAGTAGCCGTAGCCTCGATCAAAGCCGAAATAACCCCTTACTGGAAAGGGAAATATTTTACTAGATTGTTGTGTCTGTAATGTTTTGTCTTATCAGGGAAGCTTTATGTAATTAATAGCCACTTGCTAGTTAGATTACCCTGGATGACCCTGGATGTGAGGGTTGAAAAGCCAAACCGATGAATAAACTAGAAAAGTAACATTCGAAAATCAAATACATAATGTTTATCTTTGCATATGGTCTGCTCTAAATTCTTACACTAAAATACATTCATATGGTATGGCAGTCTAAATACCTCGTACTATAAAATTGCAACACGATGTAACCCAACAGAAGTGACCATGGTGATAGTGGTTCAGTTAGGTCAGGTCACTGAAGAAGAAACGTAAGTTTGTATAAACTTACCATCCCCTGGGAATCCCTCAATCCCGCCAGTTTCACCACTTCCCTCGCCACCCGAGCCTTCTTTCACTGGAGAAAAACAATTTTGCGTCAATGAGATACACGAATCCATCAATAGATGGAATTAGATGTTCAAGGGTTAGGTGTAACAAGTGGTTCGGTGTAATATAGCTAGCTGCCGCCGCGCCGCGTGCCTGCGAAGCTGGTGGTCACGCCGAGGGGCGGTTATACCGGCTATACAGATACAGAATTTAGACAAAGCTAGCCTGTAGTATGGCCAATCAGGTGAAGCCTGAGAAGCCTCAATCAGAACAGTTTCAAAAGGATTTTTAAAACTTCGTTTACTATGTATCCCGTGTGTATAGAATATATTCAGTCATGCAAATGCTAAATAAAACGGGTTGTAAACAATTTTTTGGAAGGCGCTCACCATTTCCGGGGAATCCACTGCCTTCTCCAGAGCCCTCGGTTCCGAAGAAACCCTTCACTGGAAAGGCAAAAAAACAAACTTGTCACTGGTTTTGGAAAAGCAGGTAACCAGTTGCAATTGAGAAAAAAAGGGCAGCCATTTTTTCCCTACAGCCTCGAACAGTTTTGTACCAGCTGGTCAAAGAAAAGAATGAAGGCCAATCAATGACTATGGAGAGAGACCTTGCAGGGACAAAGTCTTTTTTACTATAATGTCAGTTCGTAGCCTAAGACAAAAGGTACTTGCACGGGGCAAACATGATGTAGACTCAGTTATGTAATATTCTCTATAGTTTAAACAATTTCTTGTACGAAATCTTCAAACATTGTTGTTTTTCTTACAATCTCCAACAGTGTTGGACCAGCTGGTCAACAGAAAAGACTGAAGGCCGATAAAGAACTATGGAGAGAAACCTTGCCGGGGGGCAAAACAGCTACGAACTGGCGCTAGTCAACTGATAACAATGACTGCGACAGGACATAGGTACTTGCATTGTGTCAAACATGTAGTAGACTTGCAGGTCTGTAATATTCTTGAATAGTTTTAACGCAATTTCTAACATGGTCAGTGGTCGAGGAGCAAGATCTTTGCGGTACAACAGTTTAATTCTAACACGTTATTGTTAACGTTAAAGGTGACTGTCGAGATAAAACAGTGTTAAAATATTGTAAAAATGACATGTTGAATTTAACTTACCTAGTCCTGGGAATGCACCACTTCCTTCACCAGATCCTTCTTTCACTGGATAAGAAAAACAAGACTTCGTCAAGGAGATACAAGTACATTATTGAATCATTGTAAGCCACGTTATAAGCATACAGTTTGGCCATGCAAATAAATTCAAATATGAAGAGCGTCAATTAAACCAGTCAATTTCAAAAAATGGAGCCATTGACAAGACTTTAATTTTAAAAATCGTGGCTCGGGTTTACCACCAGGTGGCCTAGCAAATTTAGATTTTATTTGAAAAATTGTGGCTCGTGGCTAGCTAATTTTTAGTTTTTCTACATTTGACAACAAATTGTGGCTCGAATTTACCTTCGCCAGGGAATTCCACCACGATAGGTTCCCCCGACCCCTCGCCGGATGCCTCCTCGCGCCGCTCGCCGAATTACACCACATGGTTGGCTAATTTTTAAAATTCTAAAATTTTAAACATGGCTGATTTACCTTCACGAAATTCCACCACGCTAATTTGTAATATTTAAATTTGGGAAAAAATTGTGGCTCGGATTTACCTTCGCCAGGGAATTCCACGACGATAGGTTCTCCCGACCCCTCGCCGGATGCCTCCTCGCGCCGTTCGCCGAATTACACAACGTGGTAATTTCAAATTTTTCAAATTTGAAAAAAATTGCTGATTTACCTTCACGAAATTCCACTACGCTAATTTATAGATTTTTTCACGCTAATTTATTAGATTTTTAAACTTGAGAACAAGTTGTGGTTCAGTTTTACCTTCCCCAGGGAATTCCACCACGATAGGTTCCCCCGACCCCTCGCCGGATGCCTCGTCGCGCCGCTCGCTGAGGTGTGCCGCAGTTTCCGCGTGCAGCAGTCGGTCCACGTCCCGCGCCTTCACCAGTCGGGTCAGCATCTCACGGAGCTTGTCCTCGTCGATGTAGTTTCTAGCTTTGCTGCCTGGAAGGGAAAAGAAATACAAGAATGTTGTGTGAAACTTTGCATTGGGATTAGGATACCAGCCGGTTGAGCCTTTTGCCATTTCACGGAGTTTGTCCTCGTCAATGTAGTTTCTAGCTTTGCTGGTCGGGAAAAAAATCATAATACCGACGACGGGGAAGACTTGATACCTCTGGATGAGAGGCAAATTCCTCGTAATCTCCAAGCAGATCTTTTGGTGGGGGTAAGACAGTATCAAATTGGCCAGTGTCAGGACAAGATTTGAACGTTTTCATGCAAGTAGACCACAAGTCAGGTTTTTGGCCCCTTTAAAATGATTTTAAAGCTAAGCACAATTTTAAGGATTCGGACGGAATTTAAGTTGTAATTTTGTTGGCTTGAAAGGCACAAGAAACACTCCAAAACGACATTGCAAAAAAGAAGGTCATCGTACATTTTGTTGGCTTACACAGGCGCAAAACCAGACTAAAAATCACAAAAGACACGATAAATGAACCTACGAAACCTCAAAGCTAGATTTTGGTGGCATAGAGAGACACAAAACTGCCCTAAACACAAAAGACACGAAGAAAAAGTCACGAAAAATTATTTTCACCTCTTGAAGGGTAGCCTATCGCGACGCCGACGCAGAGGAGTAGAACGCACGTGGCCCACACGGTGCCCGCCATGCTGCAGAGCACTGTACACCTTCCTTAGAACACCGCGCACAAAGAATGGACGAGCCAGGGACGGCACGGGATTTTATAGGGAACACCTAGGGGCGTGGCCTGCACAGGTGTGTCTCACCTGCGAGAACACACCTGCACGATACACCTGTGTAGCCTTAAGAGAGGGCCTGCATGGGGGTTGTGATTACGAATTACGCAAAGTTTTCGCCACCGATTACGAATTATGTTTAAGTCTCAGAGCTGATTGCGACTTTACGCTTTGCGGCTAATGTACTTTTACGAATTGCGTTGATTTTTGGGGAGGCTGCCTAGATTACGAAGACTAAAAAGGCCTGATTACGCCTTACGGAAAAGGGCATGCAGGCCCCCTTAAGACAAGCTATGAGGTCCTGGGTTCAAGTCCTGACATGCCACCGAACTTGTCACGCGACCCTACTCTCCATGCAGAGTTTTGGGCTTATTTTTGGCGTGTTTTTAGGCTTTTTTATAGTTTTTTTTTGCACTGGACTTTTTTCAAGCAAATTATAAAAAAATTAAGTGCAAAATAAAAAACCTTGGGACATGAACATCCATCAGTTTTCGTGTACTTGGTAGAATAGTTTTATTATAAGCTCTTATTATGATTTTACAAAAATGATGTAGAAAAATTGCTGTAGAAAAATTAGACAACCATAATACTGTTGATTTTTCATTTTCCTATTAGTAAGTAATTGTCTAGGGTACGTGTATAACTAAAGAAAATAATTTAAGTTCGTCACCAATCATCGCCACATTTATATTAATTCTATCATCTCATTATGATGATTACACCGAACATGTAACAACTTGCCTCCATGAGCAAGTAGCTGTAAGCATTGTGAAAATGTATCTGATGTAGATGGCCCTTCTGCACTTGGTGGCAACAAGTTCTGATCTACGATAGTTCTACATGTAGATAGTAAAAATGAGTTTTTATACACCTAATTGCCTATTATATCAATAGGGATTCTTTGGTCCAATATCAATTGAAAGGATTTTAGAATACGAGTGATCACAATGACGTCACGGCGATTTGCATATGCCTTCAAATAATTTGCATGTATATGTGGTAAACAGAAAACAACAATCGCTCGTACATAAAATGATGTATATACTATGGGGGCCTGCATGCCGTTTTTCGTAAGGCGTAATCAGGCCTTTTTGTAATCCGTAGGCAGCCTCCCAAAAAATCAACGTAATTCGTAATAGTACATTAGCCACAAAGCGTTAAGTCGTAATTAGCTCTGAGAATTTAACGTAATTCGTAATCGGTGGCGAAAATTGTGCGTAATTCGCAATCACTATTAAACCCCCATACAGGCCCTCATGTATGAATATTGTTACATAGTTTTATCGTTCCAGGGCTCTAGGCTCTATATGACAAATGAATTATAATCTGCGATAATTTTTTGGAAAAAAGATTGCCCGATCAAAAATGTTACCATCGATGTACATACTTTTAAGACATATTTGGCCACGAAACTCGTCAAGCGGACATAATTTGCACATGATGAGGGTAATCAGGTTACTTTGTGCCCTTTGACCTTACGGAACACTTCCGTATTCGCGGATAGTTTGTTGAACAGGTGTGCTGTCTGTTTTACCGGCTAAAACGGAAAATTTCCGAGCCAGACGTCGTAATGAGGACACGGAAACAAACTAAGAAGGTAAGGAGAAGCTTACGAAACCAGGAAAGGTCCTTCTGTGTTCTTAAAACTACGTTGTACCCACGTTACATGGACAGTGAACTAGGGTAACGCCCCCCTCCCCACCCCCTTTTTAGTACGTGTTTACGGGCGACCGCTATGACGTCACGGCCAGCTAGTGGTAGGCCAAAGCTGGTAACGGTTGGCTGATTTGCATACCTATAATTTGCATGTGTCATTAAGTAATTTGCATAAATATGATTTAAACAAAAATAGGTATAAAATGTTTGGAGAAAAAACAATGTACTATGTAGGTAAAGGATACCATATGTTGCTTGTGCTCAAGATATCTAACATAAGGCATTTATTTATCTGCAGTTAGGCATAGGTATACAATATTAACTTCACAATTTGTCATTTAAATAAACTGCTAACTTAGTTCTTAACTAATTAACTACTAGTTTTGCACTTACAATGTCAACCATTCCCAAATTTTCTATAGTAATCTGTAATGTGAGGGCAATTGCAACAATTTTACCCAGAAGATAAAAAGAATTATATTTTTTTTCATTCCAATTGTAGACCAGACCCTAACTTTTACTAACCATCAATGATGATAGAAAATATTAAATTTATTATCTTTTTTTGTATCTGTATCAGTATCTGCAGCCGGTATAACTGCCCTTCGGTGTAACACACCAGCTTTGCAGGCACGCAGTGCTGTGGCAGCTGGCTATATTACACGGAAAGACTTGTTACAACTAACCCTTGAACATCTAACTCTTACCATCTAAAATCTAACTTTTTCCCCATAGGAACAGAAACAGACTATCTCTCCTGTGAAGAAATCTACCACCAAGGGGTTGAGAACTGGCACCCGGCCTCGGCGTTGCCCCTCCTGCAGTTTCACATCAAACTGCAAGGAGGAGCTGTTAGACCATGTCCGTGACCTGCACCCCAGCCTCCCCATACTGCACTGTTCCCTGTGCGAGTACAGCACCTGGCACAAGGGAAACATGAAACAACATGACCAGATGCACTCGCAGGATTCAGTCTTGAGTTGCGAGAAGTGTAGCTACACAACGACAAGACAGTTTGCGTACAAGATGCATCTTAAGTACCACCACTCCTCGGAAAGGCCCTTTAAGTGTCAGACCTGCAGGAAGGCGTTTGCGGCAAAGTCTGTCTTGAGGAACCACCTGAAGGTGCACTCGGACGATCGCCCCTTTAAGTGCCCAACCTGCGAATACTCCGCCAGGACTAAAGGTAACTTCACTTCAGCCTTGATTCAAGTTGTATACATTATTTACTGATACTCACTCACTCACTCACTCACTCACTCACTCACTCACTCACTCACTCACTCACTCACTCACTCACTCACTCACTCACTCACTCACTCACTATCTGGTTTAACGTTTGTTGTTCCCTGTCATCCGAGGGTTAGGTTTCCTTGCACTGCAATATTATTGACACACAATCATGATGATGCTTATTGTCCATTTATCCAAGAATATTTTTTGTATTTCTAATTCCCTTTGGTCATAATTCAATATTTTGTAGCTGTTAGATCTTGCAACGAAATATGTAATGTAAACCCAAGCTTATATGTTCCAAAATTTACCCCTGTTAAATCAGTATTGAATGTGATTTTATGGTTAAGATGTTCAATTTGTACAAAAGATAGGTTAGTCATATATCATCTTAAGAAAGTATGCAATTCAGCCTTTAGCTGTGATCATAATGATCATAATAAACTAATTCATTTATTCATTCCCTCATTCCTCCAGGCAGCCTTGTTGCTCACATATCGCGTCATAAAAAGGAGAAACCATTCCTGTGTGCTGAGTGTGGGTACCGCTCCTTCCTGAAGACTGAGATGGAGAAACACATGCGCATCCACACAGGGCTACACCCTTACAAGTGAGGGGTTTGTTTGTTTGATTGTTTGTGCATGCCTTTATTTATACTCGAATATATGTCTAATGTGCAATGGCCAAGTGGGTAGAGTGCTCGCTTTGCATTCGGTAGGTCGTGAGTTTGATCCCGGATGAGTTATACCATAAGGCTTAAAAAATGGTACATACTGCTTTCTCTGCTTAGCACTCAGGATTTGGGAAAGAGTAATTATTGGGAGTTGAACACACACCACTACCAGTGGACTAGCCCCCAGCTGTAGTGATTGCACAATTGTGTGGCCCAGTGTGTATACGTATTTGCACAAAGTTATTGCAAAATTGCGTCTATGAAGGTTAGACATCCAGGTAATATGATATGCCAAAAAGCAGTTACTCAAGCAACTGGATATGATTTTGGAAACGGTCAGTTTCCAAAATCATATCCAGTTGCTTGAGTAACTGCTTTTTGGCGTATTGCAAAATTGCCAAACAATATTGTGAAACTCTTCAATATTGCATAACGCTGGAAAAAAGTATTTCTCCCCTTACAGGTGTGACCAGTGTGACTACACTGCTGTACAGAAAATCTGCCTGGAGGTCCACATGACCAAACACACCGGCCACCTTCCCTTCATCTGCGGGGAATGTGGTCACCGCTCCGCCATGAAGTCCAACCTCGTGGTCCACATGCGTACCCACACCGGCATTAAACCATTTAAGTGCCCTCACTGCAAGGAATACTCGGGAGCAAGCAACCAAAGTCTGCGACGTCACATCGCTTACCTACACCTGGGTGTAACTCCTGTAGTCTGCATGGGCTGCAGTTATGAGCCAAAACACAAGGGGGCACTGAGGAAGCATCACAGCGAAGGGGAGGGCCATGAGAATTACAGGTGTAAAGTGTGTGGGAAGGAGCCGGTTGTGTATAGGAATGTGCTGACCCATCTGGCTCAACATGTGGATGTGGAGACGGCCACTGTGGTTACATAGAACCTTAAGGGGGGCCTGCATGGGGGGGGGTCCCGACAACGCTCTACGCTAAATTTTGAGAACTGTAGTACTGGTAGTCATGTTGTTACTTCAGTGGCCTTGTGGCTATTGAATAATTGCCATTTAAGTGTCTTAAAATCTTGGAATTAAGACTTGAATAACCTTAGGGCTAAAGAAGGTGGATATGGGAGTTGGACATGACGCTACATGGAACATACTAGTATCTGTCTGTATACCAAATAGGGTGAAGGATGTTTTGTTGATAATAATCAAAATCGGCACTTCTATATCTTTACTGTTTGTAGGACAAGTCACTACAAAATGGACTCCAGGAGAAATTGAAATAAGATTGTTACTGTGCTACAATAGTTAAGCATTTGTTGAATTGAAGGGCTTAGCTGAATTGTCAATTTTTTCCATGACTTCTAAATTTCATGAATTTTGTGAATGCTGCTGCTTTAAACCAAACCAAATGCATTGCCCACATTTATGCTTGTAGTTTGATTCTTTGATATATTGCTAAGGATATGCTTAATAATATGAAGAATTGCACTTTATTTGATATGTATATTGAAAATTTCTTTAATGAATTGAATTGAATTTTTGAGAGTTGATTATATGGAAGGAAGATTTGTTGTAAATATGATTCCTTTCTCCTTAAAGGCTAGAAAATGTACTTTTTGTGGTATGTATGAATTACAATTTCTGAAATGAAATAGGGAAGATTGATCTTGATATTTTATATCTACAAAGAAACTTAAAATGATTTGTAGAAATGTTTTGTCATGAGTGGGCATGAACAGCTGCATTTTCCCATCTTGTTGATTTATTTTGAAATTCATAGCAATTTGCGTAGATATTCACAATGAATGAATTTGCTTGCATGCTGCATTTAGTTGTTGTTGCTGCTTTTTTCCATGATGTGTTTGCTAAACTTGAGGTGGATGTTTCACTATATGGTGCAGTTGTGTGATGATGAATTGTGATTGTGTGCAGTTTAATTAAGTCATGTCAGCACTCAGCCAAATTTTGTAGTATATTGTATAATTTGATGTGTTACTCTGGACTGTAATTAATGGCTTTAAAATGAACTTGAAACTGTAACTTAAAACATCTCCCTGCTGCCTTATTGTATATTAAGCAATAATAGAAATTTGATACCAAAAATCAACTTTAATAGGAAGGTTACAGAAAGATTGCTAGAAGTAGAAAGTTGTACAAGGGAATGGAATAAATAAAATGTATAGATGGTTCAGGCTTTAAAAAATTGGTGCCATAATTTGTGAATGAGCAGAAGAGAGATGACTTTTATTTAGCAAATTTGTACAATTTGGAGATTGCTGTATGTAGAATCATCTCTACAATGTTTGTACTTATAGTATATTTTAGCCTGAGTGAGGTTCAATGATTTTCACAAAAGTACAGAATAAACAATTCTGAAATATTCAAGTCACTGTTTTATGCATTTATTTTGTCATTTCATTGTTGGATCATGTTAGTTAACACAGTCCTTATTTATAATAAGCTTTGTTTTCTGTGCCTGTCTGGGTGAATTTGATTGAAAAAGACAGACTATTTACTGCACATATCTGTATCTGTATCTGTATCTGTATAGCCGGTATAACCGCCTTTCGGCGTAACACACCAGCATGGAGAACACTGCCAATATTTACAATGTACATCCCATAACCATCTTAGAAAGGATAACAAATATCTCTTGGGTAAAATAAGATTACTAAGAGAAATAAGAGTTAGAACTTGGACACTTGACTTCTTTTAGTCCTAATAACTAACGCACAGAGTGGGAATGTTCATGTAGTGCGAAATCTTTGGTGAGTTTATACAAAATGTGAGCTCTGTTTCAAGTTTCTTGTTTTTCGGTAAACCAATAATTTACATTTTGTGCTTGTTTCTTTCATATTTTTATGATTTCGGGGGGGTTATGCGACCCAATTTTTTCATGTTTCTTTAAAAAGAGAAGAAGAAGAAAAATATACATTTTATTTATCTTATTGTACCATATCTTGAAAGAAAAACATTCAGAACTTGGAAAGACACTTTAGAAGGATGTTCCTAAGCTTTATCCTGAGGTCTTCACAGAAGATGTATTTTCAAAGTGATTTTGGGGGTTTATGTGAACCAATTTCTTCACGTTTCTATATAAAAGGGACAAAATACACATTTTTTTAATGATAATAGAAAAGACTCAGAACTTGGACAGACATTTCAGAAGGATGTTCCTAAGCTTGATCCTGAGGTCTTCGTTGCCTTCACAGAAGATATGAGTGGATCCGTCCTCTATCTGAATGAGGGTGTCCTCAGACTGTAGGTGTATGATGTGTCCTGACGGTGTGTCCTCAACTTTCACATCTGTCACTCCATTCTTCTCTAGGTCCTGGACAAACTGTTCCACCTGGAATCATAAGGAATTTTTTTATTGATGAATGAAAGTTCTCCTCTTAATTCAATAATTGAGGAAAATTTTTCTCATTTCAATCAATGATTAAATATTTCTGATAGTATTATTGAATTGGTGGTGCATTCAACTTTATAAAACTTAATGTATATCGATACCACCACTAGAGATACCGTATACACAAAAGCATAAGAGGAAATATATGCTTGTGTGTGAGTGTGTGTATGTGAGTGTGTGTGTGTGTATGTGAGTGTGTGTATGTGTGTGTGTGTGTGTGTGAGTATGTGTATGTGTTTATGTACTAGTATGCATATATTTAGATAGATATATAACTATAAAAAAGTAAAACTATACATAGTGTTATACAGACTATACAAACAAAAATACTATCATTCTCTACAGAAGGTGAAGTGTTTCACCTGCACAGCCCCCCAGACATGAGGTTTAGGCGGAGTGAAGTCTGCGTTGTCGTCCCTCTTGCGTTTCTGTCCCGGCCCGGCAGTCGGCTGCTTCGGTACAGACTGCAGGATGTAGTTGTTATCCTTCGCTTCCAGGACTCCTGTCACAGACGCTACCGCTACACCTTTTAATTTTAAGTACAGTTGTACAAAATCATTTTAATTTCATGATAAATGTTTGCTAAGTTTGAAGGTGGAGGACTTTGTATAAGCCTTGTAGTAGGCTTCTTCCCTCCTCCTGCATATTTCCCTCTTAAAGTTCTATACTTTCTGTATTTTCTTTGTGTGAATAAACTAAAACCAGATCATTAGATATCAAAACCGAAAGTTCTGCTGCAGTACCAAGGAAAGCCACCAGGGGGCCCAAAATCTTATAATTTCCAGGTCTCATCAAGACCTAACCACCTACCAAGTATCAAGACAATCCATTTATTAACAAGCCTTCTCAAGTTATCGTGTCCACAGACACACACACACACAAACACACACACACACACGAACGCCTCTGAAAACATAACCTTCTTGGCAAAGTTAATAAATAAAATAAAATAAAATAAAATAAAAATAAGAACGATTTTTCAGAAAACAAACCTTGTCGTATCTCTGACGGAACCAGGCTTGAGGCGAGCTCTGGCGTGATTTCGATTTTCTCGTACATCCTCCTGATGGGCAGCGACAAGACTTCGCCGCGCTGAAACGTCGTTGGCGGTGGATCCGCCTCGAGCACGAGATCCGTCCGCTGTGGTAAAGATGGCGGCGGCGTGATGTACGCCTCTGGCAGGACCACGTGAAGCGGCTTCAGATCCGTGATGATCTTGTTTGCCTGTAGTAGTAGTAGTAGAATGTGTCGATGAAGGTTAGACATCCAGGTAATGAGATACGCCAAAAAACAGTTACTCAAGCAACTGGATGTGATTTTGGAAATGGTCAGACGTTTCAGGTACCATCCACTAGCTTTCATCAGTGACACTGGAGAACTAAAAAAGGAGATTTATAAGCAAGAAATATTAATTTTTTTGGGGGGGGGGTCCAAAAGGAAACAAAAGTTATTTAGACAAGTCAAAACAAGGATGATGCAAATTGGGAAAAAGCTCCTGTTGTTTCAGAACAGGAGCTTAAGTGTTGTCTGTCCTAACTAACATCACAAGACATTACGTACCTGCTGGAAGCTGAGCCGTGTGTCGATGGGGCAGTGTACTGCCTTCATGGCCAGCGGTTGGTAAGGAGCAAGTGCCTCTAAGTACGGGACATCAGGCTCCACAAAGATAACGGTGTTCGCCTTGGACTGACCTGACATGAATGTAAAGAGATACGTCGATGAAGGTTAGACATCCAGGTAATACGATACGCCAAAAAACAGTTACTCAAGCAACTGGATATGGTTTTGGAAATCATATCCATTCCAAAATCATATCCAGTTGCGTGAGTAACTGCTTTTTGGCAAATGTATAGAGCGTTGAAACTGTGTGAGTTCTTTTCGTTGTGGTATGTCATTGCGAATCGTAATTTTGAGCTGTGTAGTTGCTTGTGAAATAAGTAAACTGAAACTGACCCCACATCTCCATGAAGTGGACGGCGTCGCCGAATCGTAGTGTCGGATGTCCGGCGAACACGACACAAGGCGTCTTGAACTCGCTGCTGAAGTCTCCGTGGATGCCGGGGAACACCTTAAGACGACTGATGGTCTTAAGTTCCTCGTGGACAAAGGGAGCCTCTGGGAGGTACACCTGGAACAAGAAATAGTCCTAAAGATGATCTAGATAATATGTAAGCCAGTATTTGCAGCCCTAAGTAATCATGCCATCAAGTATCAGAGTTATCAACCAAGGATTAGGGTGTTCAAAAATTCATTCTTTCCTAAAACTATCACTGAGGCCACACCAATTTATTTCCTTGGTTAACGGATTCGCCGCTTGCTTTTTTTGCCGAATGAAAATAAAAATAAAAAACGTCATAGTTTAGACCCCACAGGCCGGTAATACCCTGAACAGGGAGACCTCAATGAAATTGCTGCAGTTCATACCAATGTCGCTAGAGGCGCTCCTGCACACATAGTCACATGACGTAAAGTAGCCAATCGTGGATTGTTTTACTTTCTGACCAATCAGATGCGATGTTCTGGAACCATGTTGGCTCAGTCATTTGTTTTGGAGCCTCATGGCGGACAAAATTTGTGGCGGAAGCTTAAATTGTTTGAGAAAGCTGGAACTTTGGATCAAGGCAGAATCTAGGTACAGTACATGTAAAATTGAATAAATTTTGTCCCCTTTAAAGTTAAAATTGCTTGTGAGAGTTAACATTCGTGTCATGTTTTAGAGTACATATGATGATGGTGGAACTTGGAAGTAACATGCTAAAACTTGTTTTCTGCATTTTGCTCGTGTACGAAAAAGATTATCAACCCAATGGTGTGGATAGCAAATAAAACACAATATGGTACATCCTCTCTTGTCTTTTGTTTCTTTCCCAGTATTTTCGTAACTTAATAAGCAGTCTGGATTTCACACTACATGGCTGTATGGCAGGTAGTATCAAATTTTTATTTTTATTTTTTTTTCGCCCGCCCGCTCCATTTTTTTCTACAAAAATCCGTTAACCAAGAAAATAAATTGGTGTGGCCTGAAGTGGACCTCTTCAACTACCAGATCTAGAGTTATCAAGTTCAGGGATTGCGGTGTTAGATTATAAGCTTTCAACAATGTTTAGAGTTGGATATTCAAGGGTTAGGTGTACATGTAGCAAGTTGTTTGGTGTAATGTAGTCAGCTGCCGCCACGCCACCGGCCGAGGGGCAGTTATACTGGCTAATACCGGTACAGAGACAGAAACAGATACAGACCTTACTCTGCTTGCTCTGGCACAGCCACTCTGCAAAGATGTTGGAGTAAGCCAGCGAGCTGTCCGCCATCGGCGAGACGAAATACACGGGAAGCTGCATCAGCCCCGAACTGTCCAGAAACACGGCCAAACACTCGAACAGATCGTACACCACGCCGGACGGGTAACACGGGACCAGTACGTTCCCCCCGTTTTTCACCGTCACGGCGAGGTGGCTACAGAACTCGGATAACATGCTGTCGGGGTTGGCTGTTGGGGACTGGGTGAGACCGGCTAGGATGAGGACATCTGTGTTTTGTAGTGGCGCCTGGTCCTGCAGTGAAGTAATTGTATTTGTTCAGTTAAAGTTTTTGATCCAACACGAGAAGTTCTCTTACCTAGAGCTTTCGACCAGTCACTCTGATCTTCCTCAGTAGACTGACCCAGTGAGGCTTGTCACGTGGCTTCTTTGAAGTGTGACGTCAACACTGGGTCAGTCTACTGAAGAAGACCAGAGTGACTGGTCAAAAGCTCGAGGTGAGAGAACTACTTTGTGTTTGGATCTCAAGTTTTAAGGATAACATGCTGTCGGGGTTGGCTGTTGGGGACTGGGTAAGACCTGCCAGGATGAGGACATCTGTGTTCTGTAGTGGAGCCTGGTCCTGCAGTGAAGTAATTGTATTTGTTTAAAGTTAAAACTTCAGATCCAACACAAAGAAGTTCATTATGACAAAAAGGGCTAAACGTTCAGGCCAACACTGAGTAAATTGTGGCAAAGGTTGACAGTCAGTCGAAAATTTGGGTAAGTCCCAATTTACTCAGTGTTGCACTGAACGTTTAGCCTTTTTGTCATAATGAAGTAGAAGTTCTCTCACCTAGAGCTTCCACCAGTCACTCTGGTCTTCCTCAGTAGACTGACCCAGTGAGGCTTGTTGACGTCACACTTCAAAGAAGCCACGTGACAAGCCTCACAGGGCCTTTCCAAACGCTCAAATTTGGGTCCTGCAAGCTACTTAGTTACAGGATTCAAACACAGAGCCTTTAGACTCTAAGTCTACAACCTAACAACATTACTGCCCACCATAGACTAGTTCTGAATGCGTGACAAGTTTTACGTATTCGGACACAGATGGACTTTGCAAAATTGCTACTCACCATGGGCTGAGAGTGGGTTGTAAGTTAATTTAAGCCTAACCACAAGTTTGAACAAGCTAGAACTTGCTGTAAACCAATGATTAGCCAGGAGTGTTACAACCCAGGCTATTGTTTACATTAGCACATGATAAAAAAAAAAGTTTGCTACACACCATGGGCTGTGGGTGTGTTGTGAGTACCGAGGAGCTGGAGACGTAGGAGATCTTCTCGTAGTGAGACTGGATGAGCCAGTTACAGCTGCCAACACAGTACCCAGAACTCAGGGGCATGATCTGTAGAGCTCCAAACACATCCAACTTCTGAGCATATCCAACAAGCTGCACCTACAATATAAGGAGGATAACACATGAATGAATGAATAAGTGAATGACTGAGTAAGTGGGAAGGGAAGGAGTGAGGGACATTTTTCGCAATCAATCTCACAAGATTTAAACTCCTGAAATTCTGCTCCATAAGCAAAGTACCAAACTACCGGTATGTACAATACATTCTGAATTTTGCACAGGGGAAGTACCAATTTGCTTAGAACTTCGAATTCAAATATAAGGCAATAGGGGACAGTTTGTCAGTACCTTAGACAGTGCAGAGTTGATGTCATGTAGCCCGTAGCACAGCCTGAGCGCAGCCGGGTCCAGCCCATCTCTCAGCTGTGCTGGGAGAGTCTTAAAGACGCCCGGCTCCTTCCACTTGCAGGCTGCTCGCGTCTTGGGAACCCGCTCCGTGTGCTGGACCAGCTCCTCCATCAGCTGCCGGCCCATCTGGGCGGTCGGCTCCGTCGCGTAGATCATTCCTGGTCACAACGTACAAAATAACAGTATAATTATGTTTACTGAAGGAAGCATGTTGTTTTTGCTCAGTTTCTTCCTCTTCTTCTCCAAACACTGACCTCTGACCTGGCCAATGACCTGATTTGTTGATGTCTGTCACCATGGTAAACTGGTGTTGGGTTACATAATGTTGCAATTTTATAGTAGGAGGGATTCAGACTCCTGTGACCATATTTGTGAATATGTTTGAGTAATAATTAACAGAGCAGACCATATGCTCAGCTAAGGTAAACATTTAAATATGCATTTGCTTTGCAAATGTTACTTTTCTAGTAAATTTTCTTTTTAATAATATTACAACCAGTAATGAAACTTCATCTGTGTTGGTGATGAGAACTTGTGATATACTTGTGATGACTTACTCTCCAAGCAGAGAAAGAGCAAGAGAAAGTGTCTAATATTTTAGTTAATTACCGTTGAATCCGGTGTACTCAGTGATGTAGGGTAGAGCCAGGATGCACTGGAAACTGGACACCAGGATGACATCCACGGTGGACAAGTCTAACAACCCGTCTTCTGGTATCCCCACTTCAGGTGGGCTGTCCACAAACACTCGCCCTGCACACTCCTTAACAGTGGTAGAAATATTTCCAAAAATATTTTCATCAGGTTGGTAAAGCATAGGATACTAGCTTAGAGTTCTTTTTCAAAGAACCAATTATTTTACATAAAGTGCTTAAGTTTCGGTGTCTATCAGACACCTTCCTCAGAGCTTCTGACTGGAGTTCTGCTTCAGCCGATGTAGGTGGCACTTTTGCAGCGAGAACACAATCCCAAACATGGCTGAGCTTGTTTGATTGTTATTATGTATTACTGACTGTACTTTTCTTGAAATGAAACATAATAATAGTTTTTGTAGACATTCTACTTAGGCCACACCGATTTAATTTTATGAATGACATCCTCTGAAGACCCCCAAACTAGTGCGCGCGGGCGAATAAAAAAAATTCCGGCCAAAAATAAAAATGGTACTAAACCAAAGGAATACGAAGCTGGTATTGTGAATTCGCAACAGTACTTAGCGACGTATATGACAAGCCGACACATGCTGGCTTTTTGCGACATTCATGAATCGAGACTGTACTTATGTACTGAGTTCTTGAGTCGTGGAGCTTTGAATTTGATAGCCTGGGTGCTCTGCTCCGTTTTGTCGCTGACTACCATGGACTACCCATGCCTAGAGCCAGGCCAGAGCCTCGGTGGAGGTGATCTTTTTTTTTTTAGGGCGCCAGGCGAAAATCAATGCGCGCGCGGATGTCATCCATAAAATTAAGTCGGTGTGGCCTTATTTTATCTTATATATGAATCATGATGCACCTAAAATATTTTTTGCACACCCAAATTTTTTGGTTGGGTGAATCAGTGCACCTGTTCCCAAAAATGAATTTGAAGCCCTGTCTGCTATAGCTACATTTGTACTGTACTGTACCTTAAGCTCCTTCCTCAATGCCTTGAGCGTTTCTTGGTCGTCAACGGCAACGTCTTTAGGCACCCAGGAGGGGAGTTTGGCGAGTCTTGAGCTGTGCACGAGGGGGAGGGGCAGGAACCTGAAGGTCGTGCCAAGGTCAAGGCTGCAGTCCAGCATGACCGTCACAGACTTGAACTTGAGGACCAGACAGGGCAGGTTGGGGTGGCTGGACAGGCAGTACAGCTTCATCTTTGACTACTGGAGTAACGATGAGAGAAACATCTTTAATTTAAGTTAGCTAGGAAGGTAAAGTTTGCATTTCTAGGAAATTAATAATATATTTTCCTATGAATTTTCCTCCATTTCTAAAGGAAAAAAAGTTTTCGACCATACTGTAAATCGTACAAAATGAGCGAATATATCTATACCAAAAGTATTAGAAAATGATACTGATATCATAGAATGCCAAAATCAAGTCATTTGTTCCACCTTCTTGGCCACATAGATTTCATAATGAAGGAAACATATTTCTGCCAAACTATTTTTCATTCGCACGCTCGCGTCAGTTTTTGGGTGCCCAGAGGATGTGATCCATATATAAATCCATATATATAGAAAAGCATTTGACTCTGTACCGATCAAGAGATTGTTAGCCAAAATTGAGAGTTACGGATGTAAAGGGAATATTCTTCAATGGATCAGTTCTTTTCTGCAGGGAAGAAAACAGAGAGTCTGTGTGAACAATAGTAAATCAGAATGGGCAGACGTAGTGAGTGGAGTCCCTCAAGGGAGTGTTCTCGGTCCTGTTCTCTTTACGTTGTTCGTCAACGATATGCCTGAAGTTGCAACAAGTATGTTGAGGCTTTTTGCAGATGATACTAAAATATTCAGAGCAGTGGTACAGGAGGGGGGACTGTGAAAGTCTTCAACAGGACTTACAAAATCTTCAAGAATGGGCCATGAAATGGCAACTAAAATTCCATCCGGAAAAATGCACAGTCCTTCGAATTGGAAAGGGGCACCCAGTTTTTGAATACACAATGGCAGGCACATCTGGGAGTATCCCCCTAGCAGCAACGACTACGGAGAAGGACCTGGGTATACTAACGGATAAAGACCTTACATTTAAGGACCATATACACACAATTGCAAACAAGGCAAACCAGTTAACAGGACTACTGTGGAGAACATTTCAGTTTATCGATCAAGAAGTATTTCTCCTGCTTTTTAAAGCCCTGATTAGGCCACATTTAGAATATGGAGCCTCTGTTTGGTCTCCGTACAGACAGAATCTGATGCTTGAATTAGAGAAAGTCCAAAAAAGGGCCACAAAAAGAGTTCCGGGGTTGAGCAACCTTTCTTACGAGGATAGACTCAGAACTCTGAAACTCCCAACATTGGTCTACAGGAGAATTAGGGGAGACCTAATCAACACGTACAAATACATGCATGGTCTGTTTGACACACAGAACCTGTTCCAACAAAAAGCAGATTCAAGGACAAGAGGTCATAGCTTGAGAATAACAAGGAAGACCTTCAAGGGGAATACAAGGGCATTATTCTTTACAAGCAGAATGGCCAACTGGTGGAACAGTCTTCCTGAAGAAGTGGTCTCTGCACCCTCGGTAAATGCCTTCAAGAACAGACTTGATAAATACATGGAGAGTCATCCAATTATGTACAATCACACGGCCCTGGATTGCCCGCATAGGCCGGGAATGACAGTCCGGTAGAGCAACGAGCAGCCTAAACTGGATGGATACCTACCTGGCTGAAAGGATCTACTATCTACTATCTACTACTATAATCAAATCAACATGGCCTAAGTTGTTCAGTGTTTCAGTCCTCTGTCTAACGTTACAAAGCGAGCCCTAAAAGAAGCAGCTTACATTTTTAAGAACAACTGAGACATCCTGTATTCATCAGAGGCTTTATAAAATATCTACGTACCCCCTAGTTGATGAAAAAGCACTGAAATTTACCTGATTTCGTACAAAACACGTGAAAGCCTGCTCTTCTCACTTGCACTCTTTTGACCTTTGCCATCTGACCTTCGACCCAAAAATAACTGGGTCACGAGAAAAAAAAGAAAGGTTCGTTTCTTTGAAACAAACTCTACAAAAAAACTGTGAATTCCTCTAAAATATTTCTATGTGTTGGTAAATTATGTAACGTTGCTAGATTTTTGTTAGAGGTGAAATAAAAAGAATGTCGGAAATGACGTCATAACCGGAAGTGCGAGCTGGTTTTGGACCAGAAGGTCGAAGTCATGATCGTAGCAGGTGAGTATGTCCTTAATTTTCACTTTTCAACCCTTAAAAGCCATCAGGTGATTACCAGAACTCTTAAGAACGATCTATAGATATTGAAGAATGTTTGGTAGCTGTTGTTTGGTTATGAAAAGGCGATTTTGTCTGTTTTAACGGTCAGCAAAGTCGGTACGATATACTAGTATTTTTTGTGATGACGATTTTGCAGAGGAGGTAGAGAATCGAAAATATGTTGGTTTGTCAGGTCTTTATGTCCAAGAAAGAAATGTGTATTTATGGGCCTATCAAATTATGCTGAAGGCATGTGTGTACTGTCGAAGACATCAAAGCGCTACAAACTGCCATTTTTGTTTTAGCACTATAATTTAATTTGTCCGTGACGTTATTGTCTCAAAAATATATCATGGCCAAAATGCCTTTGTTTTAATAGGGGGCATCAGGTATAGTAAAGTTGTGGCGGAAGAGATATGTTGAAAATGAAATGCACAGTAAGGACAACAAGAATATTTTGGGAGACCTCTGTTTTTTGTGAATAATTGTTTTATTCATATGATTATGTCTAGTAGAATAGAAAGTCAGAAACACAAACAAACACATCAAAAACTTGAAAAAGGCTCACAACATTGTGGTTTCATACTTGAGATAGAAATATATTTCTTATCATATGCATATGCATATCATATTCTCTTTTTTTCAGGTTGCTACAACAAAGAATACTCAACAAAAACATTTAATTTAATGGATAGATGGATGGATTGATTAGAGTTTGGCTTTCTCTAAACTGACAGAAATATAGACTAATAATAAGGCTCCCATGCAAGTTAACAGAAAAAAGTTGCAAAGAAAAATTACAACTCAACAAACATTTTAATGTTCCCCCTTTGAACCTCAGTGCAATGGATATATAGAGCTACTTGTCATTTGGAATTGGGTATGATTATAATTAGCAAAAGTGCAATATTACTATGAAGTTTTGAAATACAAATAAGAAATTTTGCAATACGAAAGTCACAATGGAAGAAGAGATACTTGAACCTCCTACCAAAAAGCTCAAAACGGGTATAAACGGATCTGAAGACGCAAGTCTTAAACTTAAAGAACAATCAGACGTTAACAAAACGCCAAGTTCAAAATCGGAAACCCAAAATGTTGAAGAAATGACACAAAGTTCCGAAGACAAGAAAAAGCTAAAAAGCAAAGAATTGAATTTGGGTGAAACCAAACTGTCCAGACTTGGGGGGGTGGCAGGTCCGGAAGGGTTAGAATTTGATGTCATCGATGAGTTTGAAATCACGGACAAGGAGGAGAAGGGAAGCAGTCCGGCGGATGTGGAGGACCGTTACCATGGCAACGAGGACATCTCAGATGACGAGGACATTGACATTGACGCCATGTTGGATGCCGGAGTGGCCCATTATAAGAAACATAGGGGGGGACAGGATGGGGAGGGGAGGGGCGGTGAGGCGTCAGAAGAGCCCATCATCAAGTATAAAACTGTCCTCAAGTGTAAGTATTTAGAAAATCATGTTTTTTTGCTTTTTTTTAAGAAGTTTATTTTGTTTGTGCCGTATTTGCTCATGCTTTTGGTAATGTGTTTGTGTGTGTGTGTGTGTGTGTGTGTGTGTGTGTGTGTGTGTGTGTGTTTTCTGTATGTGTGCGTGTGTGTGTGTTTGTGTTTTCTGTATGTGTGTTGTGTGTGTGTGTTTGTGTTATAGAAAGTCATTGAAAATTTAAAGACTGTATCACTTTGAACATTGCTTTTTCACTTTCAACAGTATTCCTGTTTTCATCATTTCTTGCATTGCTGCTTGTATTGTTGCTATAATCCATGATACAGTCAGCATTGTAAACATTGTACATGACTAATTGCCTTTTCATCAGGAGTACCTTAGATGCCAAAAGAATGCAGATTTAACCTGACTTTATTTGAATGTCATCTATGAAGACATTAGTGGAAATATGCATTGACCATGAAAAGGAGTAGCAGCATGTAGACAGTTGTAGATAGTAATGAATTTTTTTTTTCTTGTTCAAACATCCAACATTTGGTATTTGGAGTGGAACCCGGCACTTTGCAATTGCGTTGAGGTATTATAAGTTTTCAACAATCAGCATCTTAAGCTTATGGTGGTGAGATTACAGCTCACTTCAATCCTCCGTAGCTTACCGAGCTGTTGGGGCAGGAAAGTAAAAGTAGTTTTCTAGTTTTGGCTCAACCTTCTGCTGAGATGAGGGTAAACATACTAGTTTTTCAGTTTTGGGACTAGAACCCAGTACCTGAGGGTAGGGAAAGAAAGAATCAAACCCTCAACCTCTTGTTGACAACTTGTGGTGGTGATGTGGATTGGAACCCAGTACTTTTGGAAGAGGTAAGATTCGAACCCACGACCTCCCATTGCAGTGAGGGTAGTTTTTTGGACTAGAACCCCGTATATATGGAGAGGTTAACATGTAAGATTCAAACCCATGACCAGTGGTGAGGGTAGTTTTTTATATTAGAACCCCGTACTTAGAGAGAGGTAAGATTCGAACCCACAACCTCCCATTGCGGTGAGGGTAGTTTTTCCGCTACTTCAGTGCTGTGGTGTGTGAAGTAGTAGTTGAACTATCTTCTTCACAGTGGCTCGCGCCCGATTTGCAGTCCCTGGCCGCCGGGTTTAGAACCCCGTACCTTTGGTTCTGTGCCTGCACAACTCTCACAGCAACAGCACACATACTCCTTACGATGCAGTCAAACAAAGTTCTCTTTTACAATTTTTTTACTGTTCACAGCTTCTCAAGTCACTGTGAAGTAAAAATGATGAAATTTTGCTTTTTGTTTAGGTAAAGGTACAGGCCTGTTCACTTGTACCTACAAACCTAAAATTGATGCAGTCGCAGTTTTAATTCAGTTTTTTTCTTCTATAAACTGTTCACAGCTATTCAAGTCACAGTAAGTAACAGTGCAACTTTGCAATATTTTTAACAGTCATGATTTTTATATAATGATTGATAGAAAGTCCAAAGTTTTTTTTTTTTTAAGGTACAGGTACAGGCCTGTGTACTTGTACCTACATACCTAAAATTTGTTTTTGTACACATTAATAGTTGAATCGAAAGGAAAGTAAACTTTAAAACAATTTTGCAGTGCTTTAAGCATTTTCTCTGCTCAGTTTTTTTTTTTATTCCACTTTTCTGTCCACATCTTTGTGAAGTCAACAAAAAAACTTCAAAACATGCAAGTCGAAAGAATAAATTGAAAACAAACAATTCTTCGGCGAGTTTAGTGAAGTCAAAAGAATAAAATTCAAAAACAAGTCTTAGGAGAGGTTGTTGGTTGTATACAAGTTTTTTTCGGTTTGGTTTTCTGTGCATATTTCTGACCAATCATGGTTCCTATCTCACGCTGCTTCTTACACTGAGTAAAGAGACTCTTTCTACACAACCGAGTCTTTTATTCAGCCGACGTTTCGGTGACCGTCTGTCATCTTCCTCAGGACAGTTCTGACTGGTTCACATTGCACTGCAGCACATTCCCAAACGTACAATATTGACATATCTACGTAGTACACATATGCGTGGTTACAGGAAACTGTATCAGTCTACAATGCGGTTCCAAACGTACAGGAGTTGGATATATATATATAATTGTGGTCAGTTATTAAACAAAAGCAGTTACAGAGAACGGAGAACAGATTCCACAATGTGATTCCAAACCTACAGCACAGGTGTGTCATATGTACATGATAGTCTTGGTTGTGTAAAAAGAGTCTCTTTACTCAGTGACTTACCAACCTGATGAAACTATTCACGGATGCTTCTCACGCTGTCGGAATCCGGTGCAATTCTCGCGTGTGTCGATCGCTCTCCGCAGATGTTAAACTATCGTTCTGGGAACAGTCGCTCTTACAAGCTGTTTCCATGGAGATAGCTTAGCAACTCCTCCGCAACTGGCCTGAAGTCGCCCGCCCGCAGCGAGCAGCAAACACCCAGCTACTTCTGTTGCATTCAACGTGGTTGAAAAGGACCCGAAATACAGACATACATCATTTAAGTTACATACACAACAACACAATGTTACTATGATATTTTGACACACACATTGTCCTCTGTACGCTGGTAGATACCTTATGGTGCAATGGACTATTGTCTTCTTGACAGAGTCTACTTTCACTGTGTGTTCTCATATGGAGGGTTATGATGCAACAAAGGCCTGTATCAGTTGATAAGCAACAACAGGGCTAGACATTCATTCATTTGTTAATAATAGGTGCACTTTTGGATGAACATTGTCAGTACAAAATTGTCTGGCTTTTTTCAGAGCTTGAATCGGAAATTGTTTTGCTATCTTGAAAAGTTTACAATTCAAATTACAACAAAGATTTTATTAACACTATTATGTCAGCAGTATACTGTAATCTGCTTAACAATTAGTACACAGTCAGAATTTAGGTGCACAGCTCCAGATTCAGTATTTTCAATCCTGTACAGCAAACTCATGAGTTCAACTTGCCCTGCTAACTTGTCTGCACCATGTAGCTCTAGGTCACAAATATCTGATGAGGACATACATGTATTACAATATATATTACAGACCTGAGTGTGTGAACCTGATATATCCTTGCCTTGCTAACTTGTCTGCACCATGTAGCTCTAGGTCACGAGCCCCTGGAGCCGCTGCCTGAAGGGTGGATCGTGACGACGCACAACTGCGGCATGCCGGTGTACCTCCACCGCGAGACACGCGTCGTCTCGTGGTCTCGCCCCTACTTCCTCGGGACCGGCAGCATCAGGGTAACCAACCGTGTCATCAGATTACACACTTGGGATCAGATTACACGCTTCGGATCAAATTACAAACCTGTGATCAAATAGTGAATTTTTAGTATTTCCTGTAGAATGTCATTGCAAAGTCAGGAGTGTTTTCATGAAAGTTGGTACATGTAGACATGATTAAAGTTAAAACTTTTGATCCAGCACAAGAGAGATTGTTCTCACCCAGAGCTTTCTTTCAACCAGTCACTCTGTCTTCCTCAGTAGACTGACCCAGTGAGACTTGTCACATGGCTTCTCTGAAGTGTGACGTCAACACTGGGTCAAAGGTGTCTGGTAGACAATGTTTCACAAAAAAAAGTTCACGAATATTGGACACCAAAAAAGACTTATTGCCTGAGATTGATAAAGAGGCTATCTACATCAGGGCCCATCACCCTTTACTTAACTGCAACAGGGGCTGACATCATTTACCAGATACCTTTGACCCAGTGTTCTAGCCCTGATATGATTGTTTTTTTTTTTATGGTACATGATTGTTGTTTCTGCTGTCTCCCCTTGGTCCACCCCTCTATGTGATTCATGTTTTACAGAAACACAACATCCCCATTTCCAGTATTCCCTGCTTCCACTACATCAGGGAGAAGGAGAAGAAACTGGGCCCCCTTCTGTGTGACATCACCACACAAACCCATGATGTCACCACACAGGGTGTTCCGCATGAGGTCAAGGTGAAAACAGAGGTCAGAAGTGTCTGCCCATATAACGGTGATGAAAGCACGACAAGTCGTGATGTCATCAAATCTGAGGAGGATGACAGAAGTGATGATGTCGCGAAGGTCATGGCGGGGTCAGAAGAATCTCAAGGTCACCAAGATGGCGGCGACTCGGATGACATCAGCACGAACGGCTCTAACCACGCCTCCGCCCCAACCAGCGACAGGGAGCATGCTGGGAAGCCTGATGACATCACCGCTGCAGTGTGCACGTCAAGTGATGACCCGGTGAGCAGCTCAGAAACTGATGATGTCACCGCTCCTGCTGATGCGGACGGGTCTGACCAGAACGGAGGCCGTGATGCCATTTCCGCGGCAACTGTTGCCATGGAAACATCCTCTGACAACGGCACCAACCACGAAGGTAGTTTTTCAGCTGATGTCATTGTTTTATGTTGTTGTTCACCCAATTTTGCATTGTTATACATGTATACATTGTACTTAAAAAGCTTTAACTTCCAACTGAAAGAGCTACATGTAGTTCTGTTATGCAACATTTCTCCCAAGTTTGCAAGCTGATACGATCCCTTTGCTGTACTATGTTGTAGAGAAAGAATTAGATTTTGTTGACAGTAAATGTCTGTTTCTGATACGATCCCTGTGCTGTACTATATTGTAGAGAAAGAATTAGATATTGTTGACAGTAAATGTCTGTTTCTGATACGATCCCTGTGCTGTACTCCCAGCGTCTGCTAGCAGCAGTGCAACAGAAGGAACGTGCCATTCTACCAAAGGGGAGGTCAAGCTTGGTCAGGCAGCCAAACTTGAGGTGTGCAGGGAGGAATCTGTAGGTGAGTCAATAAAAACCCCTCTTTGTTATTTGGACTGTTCCAAGATATTTGCAGCCAAGAATGCTAAATAGTTATCATAATTCAACTGTTGTAGCAAAAATTGTTTTGTCCAAGTTTTTCTAGAACCAAATTGGCAACCTAATTGCTACAGTGACATACATGTACTACACAAAACAATTACAAGGAAATTCTTTCAGCAGTGACAAGTTTTTGAAGAGTAAGAAATTGCTAGTAACGGGAGTTAACTGTAACTATACGTGACAAATGAATCTCTTCAACGATACACAAAACAAATAGTCAGTCAGTGATCATTTTTCCTCTATATGAAAACTCACTTTCTTCCCCCTATTAGATGCGGACCAGTTCCGAAGTTACTTGGAGAGAAGGTTCAAGTTCGACACCATCACAATCCGCAAGTTCAGGTTAGCTGCATTTGTACATGTACATATATAGCTAGCTGTGCAAAGGTTATCTTTTTAAAACACTTCAGCAGAACATACGTATATACTGTACTTGCATGAACCTGTAATGTAATGTGCCAATGCAAGCACTTTGGCAGAATGTCTCTTTCAAGGACAACCAAGATTACACATTATCATCACGCATAGGGGTTTGTGTGGCGTAATGGCAGAGCATTCGGCTCAGAACCAAGAGGTCCCGGGTTCGAATCCTGCCATGTCACCAACCTTGTGCGGCAGTTGTGCCCTTGGGAAAGGCACTTAACACGACTTTCCTCACTTCACTCAGGTGTTAATGAGTATGCCAGAATGATCATTATCATCATTGTGGGTATTAAAAGAAAAAGAAAACAATCAAATTCTACAGTTTTGAAATGTTGTTTATTTGAATGTTTTACTTTTTTCATGAATACATTTGTACAACCTTCTCCCTTTAACTGGAATTAGCACAGTCACAATAAGCATTGGTTAATTGTTTTCTGTCCTCAGAACCTGGGCAGAGCGCCGACAGCACAACAAACTCATGAAGAAAAAGGAACTGGAAGATCGGCCGACACTGGTATTCTTTCTGTGGCAGGAGTAGTCACTGTTGAAATATACAGAAGGAAAACATATTGTTTTTGCTATGTTTCTTCTTCTTCTGTCCCTAACAAATAAGTCAATGACCTGGACCAGACGTCTGTCGCCATGGTAACTGGTGCTGTAGCAGACACCCTGTGGTGTTGGGTTACATTGTGTAGCAGAACAGAGTTGGAGATCCTGCTCACCATACATATCAATGTATCTGAGTAAGAATTAACAGCAGTAGTTAGCTATAGCAAGTCTAGATCATGTGAAGGTAAACATTGTGCATTTGATTTCCAACCTTTATAGGTTTGATTCTGTTTTTCTAGTTACTGTACAGCTAATGCCTTCTCCATGTGTCCTACTCCCCTCTGCAGTCCTCCAATGCCAAAGTCATCACCCTGTCCGTCCCTGGAGCAGACAGCAACAAACCAGCCGGCCAGAAGAGAGGTGGGTCTTTATTAATGTTGATTTGATTATATGAATGACATCTTCTGGAAACCTCAAAACTGATGCGAGCGTGCGAATAAAAAAAAAGTTTTGCAAAAACCATCATGCAGTTTGCTTAGGTAGCCATTTGGCAACAGGTTTGTCTTGGCTATGGGGTTAGACAGCGTTTTTAAAATCGGAGAACGAAGAGTTTTTGATTCATGGCTGTTTCTTTTTTTTTTTCTTCAGAATTCCTGTTGAACCCTGCTGGCAAGTCGTCAGTGTGTATTCTACATGAGTACACACAGAGGGTCATGAGGGCACAGCCACAGTACCAGTACACAGAGTGTGGTAAGTGTGGACACTACAGTCTGTATCCTACACGAGTACACACAGAGGGTCATGAGGGCTCAGCCACAGTACCAGTACACAGAGTGTGGTAAGTGTGAACACTACACAGCCACAGTACCAGTACACAGAGTGTGGTAAGTGTGAACACTACAGTCTGTATCCTACATGAGTACACACAGAGGGTCATGAGGGCACAGCCACAGTACCAGTACACTGAGTGTGGTAAGTGTGAACACTACAGTCTGTATCCTACATGAGTACACACAGAGGGTGATGAGGGCTCAGCCACAGTACCAGTACACTGAGTGTGGTAAGTAGGAAAGAAGTGTGTGTGTGTAGTCCAGTGGCTAGTGCCCTGCCTCTGGATCAAGAGGTTGGGAGTTCCAATCCCAGCTTTTGCCGCTAACCTGACACGCACGCTACTGGAAAGGGTCACAGATCCGAAAACAGAATTAGTGTACAAGTAGGCTCTATATATGACATGTATAGAGAGAGTGTGCATTTTATAAAGAAAGCAACATTGAAACATTTTGAGTACTTGCCACCCTACAGACATATGTACAGAGTCTATGTCATACCACTATGATTGCAAGATGGTTTATACATGACATGTAGGGCCTCCTTACATCAAATTGGTTCTATTTCTGCAGACAATGCAGCAGAGCCTTTTGCTGCGACAGTAGAAATCCAGAGCATTAAATACGGGACAGGAACGGCCAGCAGCAAGAAACAGGCTAAACTCAAGGCAGGTGGGTATACAACATGTACATAGCAGGGCACCAGGCTGTATGGTCTTCTGTTCTAAAGGTGCAGTCACATACATTGTATGAGTTACTTTGTTGTAGGATTTTCATAGCCCGGTGTGCAAACCTATGTTACAATGTATGTACCAAGTCTCTTTTGTCCTCTTTCGCAAGTAGGCTATTTGCAAGACAGTGCAAAACTAAGAGACTCGGCAGCTAAAACAGGTTCAAACACCAGCCTATGATTTTTCGGTGAGACTATGACCAAGCCAACTGTCAACAAGGACCCAAGACAATGTACATTTTCTGTCTGGCTGTATACATGTACATGACATTGTATGCATGGATGAAGTTTAGACATACAGGTAATGAGATACATAAGAAAGCAGTCACTCAAGCAACTGGATAGACTTTCAAAATATATCCTGTTGTTTGAGTTACTGTTTTCTTGCAGACATTGAACATGATTGTTTCCTGTTCCAGCCAAGGCCACACTGGAGATCCTGATTCCTGACCTGTACAAGCAGAACAGTGAAGCCGTGTCAGAGGAGATGGAGGTGAGACCGGGTCATCTGGGTCAGAGTTCATGTGTCAAGGTCATAAATAGGGTCACAGTTCACACATGTACAAAGATAATCTGCGGGTTCAGAGTAGTAGTAGTAGTAGTAGTAAGCCTTTATTTAAACTCGAAAGCTTGTTCGGTTACAAATGACCGCTTTTCAACAAGGTCGAGGGTGAGGGCGGGGTCACGGATTACAAATCAAACCAAAATGTAATACAAAATCAAAACAAAGTGCAAATCAAAATATAATACAAAAATAAATAGTAAATCATCAGTCCGTTATCAGTCCAAGTTCCTTATCATACTTCTAAATGTTCCCAATGACTGGGCTGCTCGTACATGTGGTGGCAAGGAGTTCCACACAGTTCACAGATGTACACATATGCAAGTCCACAATGTCATCAGGGTCATAAAGTTGGAAGATTAGATTTTAGCTTGTGGTGAAAGTCCTTGTGCCAAGGACAGCTGTGTGTACAAACTGTTTGGTAATGCTGGATACATGTATTAATCAATCCCTATGCTTCCCCATGTGATCATGATGATGTTGATGTTTTCCCAGTACTTTGACCACATCGGTGTGGAGGACAGCCGTGTTTATGAACTCTGCAGCAAGGCCGGTCAGCTGTCTCCCTACCAGATGCTCACCGAGTGCCTCAAGAGGTCAGGGGTCATGTTAAAATGTCATGTTTCTAGAACAGGGCTTGAAATACTTTTCTCCAATACTTTTAATCCCACATTAAGGAAGTGGACATCAATTGGTCAGTATAGTCCTAAATGTCCGCACGCATGAGAATGCCATTTTTTAATGTGGATATCTGATGAAATTGTGACAGTTGACATAGATTTAAAGATTTTAGGGGGGATGTCAAAATGTTGATTGACTTTTAGTTTTACATCGTAGTTTGTAGGAATTTTGGAACAACAACTGACCTCTTTATTTCTGTGTTCCTCAGGAATTTTGGAATGGCCGACACAGACATCAAGTTTGATGTCGCGGTGGGTAAGCACCAGAAGAGCCAGTACACCATGACGGTGGGAAAACACACTGTACAGGTACGGACACAACTGCGTTTGTTTCTTTGTTTGTTTTGAAAAACCGGTAAACTGGCGGAACACCCCCGTTTTGTGCAGTAAGACACAGCTCTGTGAATAGTTTCATCAGGTTGGTTAGACACTGAGTAAAGAGACTCTTTTTACACAATCAAGTCTTGTAAGTGTGGAAATGCATCTATAGCAGTGACACCTGTGCTGCAATGCAATGTGAACCAGTCAGAATTACCCTGAGGAAGGTGACAGACGGTCACCGAAACATCCGGTTAAAAGACTTGTGTAAAAAGAGGCTCTTTACTCAAGACACAGCTTTGTTTTTTTTGCTTGTTTGTTTCGCATAAGTGCTAAACTTGAACCACTCAAACCCATGCTTAAGGACCTCTTCTTTTTTTTATAAGTGAGGTGGGATCTTTAAGTTTAAACATGCTTGAGGTATGGATGGCTCTCCTCAAATGGTTAAAGCCAGCAGACACGAGGCCTTGAGGTCATGGGTTCGATTCCTGGTATTCCTGGTGAGATGTTGTGTTCTTAGGAACGAAAGGCACTTACCTTTTCTACACTCAAGTGTGAAATGGGTAGTACTACCTGACTTTGGTTGGGGAGGTAAAAGGCAGTGGAAGGAGAGGGATGGGCTCCACCTTCCAATACTGTGCACTGGACACAGTGGACTAACAACCTACTGCCCCTATAGCCGAAAATGCTAATGTTATGGGATTACCTTCAGTAATACCTACCTTACTGTGTATCCTACAGGACTGGTGTAAGAACAAGCGGATAGGGAAGCAGCTGGCTTCTCAGGCCATTCTACAGAAACTCCATCCTCACATCAAGACATGGGGGTCGCTTATAAGGATGTACGGACGGGATTCCTCCAACTTTCTTAAGGAGAAAAAGGTAAGAAGTGTGATATGTCTTTGAGAAGCAACACAGCCGCACATTTTAACACATGGGGATCCCTTAATATAAGGATGAACACAATGACATTCCTTCAACTTTCCTAAGGAAAAAGAGGTAGGAAAACACTGTTAGTACGTGGAAAACAGTGAGGAAATAATGTTGACTGTGCCCAAACAAACTTCTCACCCAATTCTCGTATAACTAAAAAATAAATCAAGCTACTGGATAAATTCTCAAAGTGAAACATTTCAGAAAGCTTGTACTATCTTTCGTCGGTGACTGAGATTTTTCTTACAATAAACTGTAATAAAATACATTGTACATGTACTTCCTTGCACCTGTGTGTTGAGATCCTCTAATCAGGCACACTTAGTGCAAGGACATTATATATTAGATATAATGTCTTTACTTAGTGTACATTGTAATGTTTTTCCAAACATTTTCCAATGTTCAGGAGGAAGAACAGAGCATTTTGGAGCTGACCCAGTTCTCTAAGAAGAACCGACCCAACATGAAAATCATCGACAAACTTCAGGCAGAGATGAGAAAACTCAAGGAGCAACGGGTGAGTTTTGACAAGTGTCTGTCTTGCTTTGAAACAATTTCTCATAAAACCACAATTTACAATTCATGAGTTCACTGGATGTTGACTAGCTTTTCGATTTTTTCTAACTTTCTTCAGCTTGTTTTAGAAAATGATGTAATCAACAGAAAGTGTGCTAACTTTTGCATTTGACACCTTGCCATGTTGATTAATTATTGTTGATTGATTGATTGATTGAATGTTTAATTGATTGTTCTAGTGAAGTCATTTACTTAAATACCTAAACACATCATATACAATCATGTACATGTTTATACTTAGTGCATTTGTTGGGCATGAATATGCAATAAAGTTCATTGTCAATGTCATATACTTTTTACCATCTGAACCTTGGGGCAAGAATTTGCAAGAAAATTATGATTTTCTCACTCCATGGTGAGATGATTTCTTTCTTATGTTTACTTTTTTATAACATTTTTGTCTTTTTGTCAATTTTCAGGATGCGCTGACTGGCAAGAGGAAGTTCAACCCAGGCAATGTGGAGAAACCTCCCAACTCTCTCCTCTGCACCCTGGATGTCTGAGAAATGATACACAAAGTTCCAACTAGAAATACTAGCACGTCGGCAGAATGTACTGCACCTATGTAAAACCTGTTATGTAATGTATCGTACAAAGCACTTTGGCAGAACATCTCATATAAGGTTGTATTTGAACATATAAGGTTACCACTCCGTCTGTTGTTTCCAAATGTTATGTCGGAAAAAAATATGGTCTGCAACAGGCAAAATTCTGATGCAACGTTTTTTGCAAAGATCCAACAAAAAAGTGAAAAAATGGGGTTTTGCGCAGGCACTGCACGTTCTACTGACATCCTAGAAATACTACAACATTTAAACTTACTTCTCTTGTGTAGAAATATTTGCCTGTATTTCACAACAAACATCGCAGTTTGCTTCGTATATTCCAATTTCTACCAATTACACGCTCGTAGTTTGAATTTACCTAGAACATTCTTTATATATGTTTTCCACGTAGTTATGCAGTACAGTATAGTGTGCTACTTTAATTAAAGTAGAAAACATTGCATGGAATGTTTTGCTGTGTTGAGAATAAGACAGATGACTTATGCCTGTCCGGAGAATTTGGTTGTCACAGGTTGCCCATATACGCTTGTTGCATTTATATAGAAGGGCTTGAAAGAAGTAAAGAGGACATTACAGCATACTGAAAATGGATAATTTTGTCAACTTGTAGCCTTTTAAAACGTACATTTCATGTTGATTGTAAGTTTACATGTAGTTTCCACTATGATGTCATTTCTCTGAGTGATTTTTCATTGTTTGGCAGTTTTTGCTAACTAAAGTAACCTAGAATGAGGTTTTGTGTGGTTCAAAGGTCCAAGAATGCAGAATGATATGATGTGCAAATACAAGAATTACGAGCCAAAATGTGAAGTAAAGATTTATCTACAAGCAGATACACAACTTTGGTCTTTTTATATGAGAGTCATTGTGTAGATAACTCATTATATGAGCTCTCTTTCTCTCTCTTTCTCTCTCTCTCTCGCTCTCTCTCCCTCTCTATCTTTCTCTCTGTCTCTATCTCTCTATCTCTCACTCTCCCTCTCTCACTCTTGCTCTCTCATCTCTTTCTCTCCCTCTCTCCCTCCCCCTCTCCCA